AATAATTGTCACAGCTCTAAAAACACAATAGATTTTCCAGAAGGGAAAGCGCTGCTGCTACTGTAGCGCTATTGCGCTGGCCATTTCTATGTCAACTTAACATACACAAGAGCTCTGAAAGAGAAGACAGTCTCAACTGAGAAAATGCCTCCATAAAGCCCAGCTCGACAGCCCAGCCTGGTGCCTCACACTTTTAACCCCAGCATTTGTGAGGCAGAGCCAGGCAGCTCTCTGTAAGTTCGAGGACAGCCTAGTCTACAAAGTGAGATCTAGGAAGCCAGGGCTACACAGAGAAATCTAGTCTCAAAACAAAAATCCAGCAATTTTCTTAATTATTTTATTAACTTGTTATTAATTATTAATGAATTAATTATGGAGTTAATTGATTCATGATGACGAGGCCATCCCACTGTGGCTGAGACCACCCTTGGCCTGGTAGCCCCAGGGTCTATAAGAAAGCAGACTGAGCAAGCCATGATGAGCAAGCCAGTGAGCATCATCCCTCATCCCCCCACGGCCTCTGCATCAGCTCCTGCTTCTGGGTTCCTGTCCTGCTCAAGTCCTGTCCTGGCTTCCTTTGATGATGTGGAAGTGGAAGTGAAATAAACCCTTTCCTCCCCAAGTTGCTTTAGTCGTGGTGTTTCATCACGGCAATGATGTGATGAAACCTAGTAACCCTAACTAGGACAATTATCAATGAAAATGATAATAGGAAGACATTGAGGGAATCATCAATCAAGGACTGATGGGATAACATCAGCAGAGCTGTCAGTTCTTTACACAGGCAAAAGGGGAAGAGGGAAAGGCAGGCAGCATTCTGAATCGGCTTTGATGTTAGTAGTTCAAGCCCTTGCCTCTCTTTAGCCCTAAATGGACAGCCTGTGTCACATGATCAACTGACTAGAGTTTGGGAAATACGGTTCTAGGCAGCTTTCTTCTCACTTAAAACAGACACCAAGTAAGAAAAAGATAGGAAGGACCACTGAGCAATGATCATAATCGCAGTGTCTGTCACAGAATTGCTCTCTGAAGCAAACACTAACCTGCAGGAGCATGATGTTTTGGTGCCACCCTCTGAAAACTGAACACCTGCAGAATCATATAGATTCTTACACACAATGATGAAGAGGATGAAGCCACAGCTCGCCAATTTGACGACCACCCCCATCACTTTCTTCAAGGTCGGTAGTCCTGTTTTCATTTTCAGTGGGACTAATAGCTCTACATTAGGACCACTGAGTGAGCATGGCTGCTGAAGAAGTGCTACAGCATTGCTAATGGCAAATCCCAGATTAAAGACAGACTCTACAGAAAGAAACATGCCCCCACATTGATCAGGCAAGCCTCCTGCATCACTGTCAGACAAAAATGTGTCCTGTGGCATCTCAGAAGGAATGTCATGTTTCCTGTCTTAAATTCCTGGACATCTTTAAACTACCATCTCCAGAAAAGAGTGTTTGCTTGCCTAAATAAAACACTGTTTTCACCTGTCCTTTGACTTTTTACCCAATTATAGCAATTTAAGTGGGATATCCAATGAGTAGGTATGATAAAAATCAGAGTCTTGTCATCAACGAGTCTCTGCAAGGAAGATGTGATCTATGTGTCGTTACGAAAAGATGAAGAAAGGCCTTTGCCTGCACTGTTAGTGGATAGCCATCATGTCTCTGTCCCAGATCACCAAAACAATGGGCACTCTCATATTTTGTTATTGATGGAATAAAATTCCATTTCATCTTAGACGGGCCATTCTTAAATACCCTTCCCCCATCCCAGGGTTTCCAGTTTTTGAACAGCTGGGGACACAGCACAATAGGTGTCGAGGTAACTATATTTGGAAGAGGTGCAAATGGAATTCAGATACCCAGAAATTGTGGATGGCATCTTGTTATGAATTCTCATCTTCCAAATACTTTACAAATGTTGGGCCGATGTCTGTGGGTCAGGGTGGTTGAAGAGCGGTGGAGCTATGCCACGATTTTGTGCCCAATCCAAAACATACTTGAATCCCAGACCCCAAACTAGTCCCAGCAGAGGCGCTTGTGGCCTGGATGGCTCGGCCAACACTCCTAACTTTGCACTTCTCTTTTATTGTGTAGATACAGCTCAACGCTGACCATCCTGCTAGAAGAGTATGGGTCTGTGATTATCTGCTGCGCTTTGTATAGAGGGGCATTGAGCCACAGAAAGTTGAAGGAGTTTATTTTGGTTGAAGCCAAGCCAGGAATCACTCTATGGCAGTGAATTTTCTATCAGAAGAATTCAAGAGTCAGGGAGTGAGGGAAATCAACTAAATCCAGTCCTTTTCTTTTCAGACATCTAAGCAAACTGTTGACTAGCCACATATATACATTTCTAATCTCTTAAAAAATACAAAATTTAGTACTAAGAAGAATGCTTCATTGCTTATATGTGCGTGCTTATGTTGCAGTGCTGGGAATTGGACCTAGGACCTGGAGCATGCTAGGAAAACGCTCTACCACTGAGCCATTTCTGTAGCACAAAGAGTTTTGGTTTTTATCTAGTTAAGAACATGTTCAGTTGATACAATAAAGTTGGAGCCTAAATTACAAAAATCTCTAAAGCATTTAAAAAGTAAATACCAAACCCCTTATGTGACTTATGTGCCTGAGTCCTCAACAAAAACTTCTCCAGGAGAATCCGACTGTACTTTCTAACACCGTCAGAAAGAATCCAATTGTATACTCAAGGGGTGCTCTGGACAGTGTTTTGTGGCAGTTGAAGCAGAGAGGTCTTAGGTTGATGAAATCTCTCTGTTCTCATCTCTTCCCTCCCTTTACTGTCTCCTTCTTTCATCTTTCTCTTCCTCTCTCCCCCTTCTCTGTCCCTGCCTCTTTCTCTTTCTTTCCTTCTCCTCTCCACTCTATTTCTTTCTCACCGCTCCCCCCCCCCCACCAATTCAATCAAAAGGTAATACACTTAGAATTCATTGCATTATGCAATGCTTCAGAATCCTAGGCAACTCCTGTCATGCCAAGAAACAGAAACCATGGCAGAGAGGTGGCTGGAAAGGTTAGCAAAGACACCGGTGAGGCCACATCTCCTGAGCAAAAGGGAAGGGCAAGTGAAAACATGAAAGTGGCCCTCACTTCACACTTCAGAGGTGACAGTTCCTCCCCAAGTTCTTTTTTGCCACTTCAAGCACTGACAAAGTGGCTGTGTGTGTTTCAGTATCAGGCTGCTTTTGACCTTGGGTGCTCAGAGTCAAGAGTGTTTTGATTCTACACAGAACTGTTGGGCTGGGTCAACAGCAGTGCAGTGGGGGCAGGGAGCGCATGTGGAGACAGTGTGCTGGAACACAACTCCCAAACCTCAAAACATGCCCAACAATAACAACATTAGCCACTGACCCCAAGCTGGGAAAGTCTATCTCCACGGCTCCTTCCACCAGCAACCATAAAAATGCTAACCTGAAGGGTCAGAGGATGCCTTCACTAAGTGGTCCAGAGAGAGTGAGAGGACAGGGACAGTTACATTGGAAAAGTCCCCCCTGCCCCGGTGACAAGTAAATTGAGTATTTTTACTAGGTAAGAAAAACATTTAACTTGCAATTTTAAGAACAGTGGCATTAAATTTCGGAGTTCTCTTTTTGTCGCTTTTTTTCTCTATCTCTTCATCCTCCTCTCACGTGGCTTTTCAATTCTTGTCCCTCTACACCCAGCCTTCCTGGTTTTCTGTTCCTGAAGGTAGCTGTCAGTGCCCCCTCCATAAGGATGATCTGATCTGCTCTTTGCCATTCCTCTGTATCATGCCAAGGCTTCTCTTTTCTCACTCAGATCTTGTGTCTGGTTTTACCTCCTTAGGGCACTTTCTCTTCCTAGATGTTTCCTCCATCATCTTGTCCTTGTTTTACTCTCAGCCATCAGTAGACTCCTCTTACTTGTATTTGTCATTTGTTACACATAGATGTACATTCTGAAAGAGTACATACCACGTGACTATCTCATTTATTAATGTGTCTCCTGCTAGCATGTGGGCGAAATTTATGTATTAGAGAAATGGATAGAAGGGTACAAATGAAATGAATATATGCATGGATAAATGGGGAGGAGAATAGACAAGAATAAATTGATGAAGAAATGAATTGTCAGATGACTAGGTGAGCAAATAGAGGTAAACAGGTGAATGGAGAAATGTAATCAATAGTTTGACTTAAATATTTATCTGATTTATTCAGATCTTTTCCTCCATGGTTCACACCAAAGAAACCAAACTGGACATTAAGATTATGATTGAAGCCATGGTGGTTAACTGTTTGAGGCTGTGCGAAATTAACTAGAAGCTGGTTCCATCTTTCAATGAGTAACACTTTTCCTTCAAAACAGCTCTCTTATTTTGATGTGCTTTGGTGCTTAATAAATAGTTCATAACTCCCAAGAAAATTCCTAAGTAGTAAAAGGGGAGACATTTCCTGACTTAGCCTTTTGAAGATACAGAAACGAATCCATGTGCTAGGAAAATGAGTTAGGAATCCCAGGCTGGCCGTGGTGTCTGGAGTAGGAATGGCCCGCCTAGGCTTATGTATTTGGCGCTTAGTCATTGGTCGGTAGAGCCTTTGGGAAGGATTAGGAGGTGTGGCCTTGTTGGAGGAGGTGTGGCTTTGGAGGAGGTGATGGCAGTAGGAGTGGGCTTTGAGGTTTTAAAAGCCCATGCTAGGCCCAGCATCTCTCTGCCTGGAGCCTATGATCAGGACATAGGGATCCCAGCTACTGCTACAGCCCCATGCTTGCCTGCCCCCCACCCTGATGATCACAGACTGACCCTCTGGAACTGTAGGCAAGCCCCCAATTAAAGGTTGTCTTTTCTAAGAGTTGCTTTGGTCATGGTGTCTCCTCAAGCCAACAGAAGAGTGACGAAGACATTGGCTGGACTCCAGCCACTGGGATGAGCTGTTCTTGTCCCTTAGTTAAATGGACTCTTAAGAGCAGCGTTTTAACCGTCTGCCTTCTGAGTATTTGTTCATTACTTGTCTGTTTTAGAGTAACCTCAACCTGGAGAGGGACTCCACATCAGAAACCGGTTTTCCTTTGTCCAAAGAAGACCCAGAGGAGCACCAGGCTGTCCACCAACCCTTCCCCAGACAGCCATTCCCTCAAGAGACTGGGCATCCTTCACTGCAAAGAGACAGCCCCAGATCCCTTCTCCTTGACCTGCCAAACTTTCCAGACCTCTCCAAAGCTGACATCAACGGGCAGAATCCAAATATTCAGGTAACTCTCTGCAGCTGGCAACTGAAAGAAGAGAAAACAGTTCACCTTTTGTTTCTTAACCTGATGCTAGCAAGCCCTGCGGCTTTATCCCTTGTCCTTCTCAACCCCTCTGTGACTCCTGCCGAGGGCTGTGCTATTCCCATAAAGAGAGTGTTGCAATACCCTTGATGATTTTTGAGACACTGAAATATAAAAGCAAAACAAAAATAATGTGCCCTGAATTGGTGAGATGTGGAAGCTTTAGGAAAAGCCTGGCATTGCTTGTGACTAGACCTGGTAACCCACGTTCTATCTTCAGGGCACTCAGCTTGCCTTCAGTACCAGAAGGGGACAACCTCCTAAAGAATAAATGACAAACAAACAACTAAGTAAGAAGGAAGGTGAAAATGGAACTTTCTGGAACACAGATTAATATATTTTATTAAAATGGAATTTTAATAAAATCAGGGAAATGGGACACCAGGAAGGGGTTATTGGATTAAAAAATAATAGCATTCACCCACATTACAAAGGAAATGCTGCTTTTGTCTAGCCCTAGACACATCCTCAGGAAGGAGAAACCATTCTCCCAGCAGCAGCTGCTCAAGGGGTCACTGTGTGGCTTGCCAAGGTCACATGACTAGCAAACTGTAGCTATGGTGCTCAGCTCCAGGACCTGCAGCTCCCAGGAACACCCACCCGCCAAACTCCTGATTGCCGGTGTTGTTTGTGCCTCCTCTTTCCTCCTGAAGACAGTTCTCTTGACAGTTCAGAAAGGCAACGTAGGCCCCACCCACTCCTGTCCTGACGTGGCTGCTTCTATGTCTCTACGCTTTGTTTTGATTTCTTTCATTTGTGTAAGGACAGCTTTTCCTTAACTTTATCATCACATCAAGTGCCTTTTAACTTGTGTAGCAGCAGAGTTCCTCAACTTGGGATCAAAGTATTCTTAATTAAGAGGTTCTCCCCCACTCCCCATCCATGTGTGGTGTGTGTGTGTGTGTGTGTGTGTGTGTGTGTGTGTGTGTGTCTGTGCGTGTCCTTCCTCTCTCTTCCATGGCCCCTCTGACACTCCTGACACTCCCCTCATGATATCATTTCAGAGCAGCTCTCCTCCGTCAGAGTTGTTTTGCTTTTGAACAATGAATGTCACTGAGAACACACCTTAATCAATGAGCATCAAACAAGGGCTGCTCTGCACAAGACACTACATTAGGGAATGAGACTTTAGGAAGCATGAAGCCATATCCCTCCAGTCCCTGCTGTGATGACACAGGCATGACTCTCCCGGCTATGACATGGAACAGCACTAGATGGACCTTGAAGTCAGAGGAAAAGAAAGCACCATGCTCCCCAATAAGAGACAGAAAGAAGTAGGTCCAAGCCATGAGTGTTGAAGTACTGTGGCAATCATAGTTGACAGTGCATGTTCAGAAATCACTGTCTATTGCAGGGAACATTTCTGATGAGTGCTTCAGTCTAATTATTTATTGGAAAAACTGGCCCTTTGCTCCCGTGCCTTCCCTGGATCTGGCCACATGGCTCCGGGGGAGGGACAAACTGACATAGTAGGGATGGTGGCTCCACGCCGCAGGTCCCCGCTGCCCCCCACTGCGGCTTCCTCTGTGGAAATTTTTCATTGTTTATAGACTTTATGCTTCCTGGGCTCGATTGCCCTCACCTCAAAGGTCCTTGGACCATGTCCAATCTTAGTCCACATGGCTAGCATTTTATCCCAGAGGCAGGAAATCGGGGAGGATCTTCATGCAGACGCCCGAGCTACTGGAGAAGTAGATTTAAGAACTGCTAATGCAAAGTTACAGGAGAATGCTGGATTTAGAAGAAGGGAACACTGGGCTTTTAAGATGTCCCCTCACTGAAATTTTACTAGGTACCATTATGCACCCTGTAATAAACTGAGTTTAGAGCTAAACTCCTTGTGTCCTTTTGCTTTCTCCACCAGTCTGGAAATGCCCAAGCCCTCTCCAGGCACCACTGGGACCTTTGAAAGTACCACCTAAATGTTAAGGTGGCGCAAAGGCTTTTGGGATCACAGATTGAACGTGGGGAAAGTTGAGCCCACTCCAGCCCACATGAAGAAAGTGTGCAGGCATTCAGTACAGCAGCCAAGAAAACGAAGGATTCCTCCTAATAAGCTGTACTGTTTTTCTGAGTAGGAAATAAGGGACACTTTGAGACAGTCCCACCTGGGAGATACGCTAACCTGTGTGGGAAGAACTGCACAGAGGCTGAGGTAGCTAGAGAATAAGGGTGGGGCAAGGGGAGGCCTCGCCCACCAAGCCAGCGGCCTCACAGCTTGGGCAGAGTCCCTTGGACTCCTACAGATTCCTCAGCCACCACCGAAGCGTGGCTACATGTGGGGCTCTTCTGCCTTTGTGCCCCTGAGCCTCTCAGCAGCACCCTGCTCCTGTGAGCTCGGAAGAGGTGGGAGCCCCCGCAAAAGCCTCTCTTCGCTCGATGCTATCCTGGCCTGGCACCAGGGCAAGAAGTTAGTTTCCAAGTGGAGCTTCTGAAAGGGAGGCTTCTGAGGACGTGGTAGAAGGAGGACAGGGCTGTGCCGAGAAAGGTTTTGTGTTTGGGGTGTTTGTTTGTTTGTTTGTTTGTTTGTTTGTTTGTTTGTTTTAGGGTCATCTTTGGACGCCGGAGGCCACATCTGCCAAGAGTACGCGTTTTCTGTGGCTTCACATACCAGAGCTGTTGGCAGATGGATCGGAGACAGTAAAACTCCACTGCATAGACGCGTTATTCCATTCCATTTAGATAAGCTCTGGCTGTGGGTCCACAGCAGCGCAGAGGGGTGGGACAGCTGGTGCTTCACTGACCTGATGGCTTCCTACCATAAAAACATGAGCTCCATTTCTGGAGTTCATTTCTAGGTCACAGGAGCTTAGTGTGGGTCATTCAGAAAGATATTCAAGCAAAGGCAGCTACTGCCTCCAAGTGCTCCAGCCTTGTCTATCTGTTTCTGTTTCTGTCTGTCTGCCTCGTCTCTGTCTCTCTCTGCCTGTCTCCTCCCTCCCTTCCCCCCCTCTCTCTGAGTGTGTGTGCGTGTATAAATGTTCATAGGGACATTATTAGCCTGTGCAGTTCCAAGCACCACTACACTTGCGTAAACCAGTTCCCTGGTTACCCCATAGAATATAAGGGGCTTCTCAAAGGGGAGAGGGTAATGATGTCTTGGTTGGCAGCCCTTGTCTGAGCCTTAGAGCACTGTTCTTTTGTTGAAAGCCACTGGTTTGACCTAGCCCGTCCAGCCAAGCACAAAGCCCAGCTGCTCACCATGGTTCCCTGAGCATTTCTGTCCTGGCTAGTGGTATGAATATGGGTAAGGGGGTGCTGGTGGGTAGGTGTCTGCTGCCAGAGCCTCTGGCCTCCTGTGCTCTCCATCTAGGCAACTTACCCCTTGTGCCCACCTCATGATCCTCAGTTGGAGCTCAGGATCCTGCAGGAATCAATACCCTTATCTCTGACCCCTCTGCAACTCCAAGCACTTGGAATGTACCCAAAGCTCCAGGACTGGGTCCTGTCCCTCTCCAAAGTGGCGTTCCTGAGCGTCTGCAAAGGGCCATGTGCCTTGGGCCTCTTGACTTTCAGGGTGGAAAATTGTCATAAAAAGCCAACATTTGCTTCTGTGGAGCATTTTTATGCCATAAGTCAGGCAGCCTCTGTTCCGTGTGAATTAGACTCCATGTTAGCACTGCCTTCAGGCTGTGGGAATGGCAGGAGAAGACAGTATTCCTTCTGCATGTGCGCCTCTGTATGTATGATGCATCGGATAGGAAGAAATGGCTTCATATTCCTAAGCTGATCTCCAGGTTAGAATTCAAACGACATAAGAAATGAGGTTCTGCTTTGGAAAAAAAAAAAAAAAAAAAAAAAAAAAACAATCATTCCGGATAGAGTGTTAATCTCTGGGGACAACTGAGACTTGAACTTTAGTATCCGGGCTAAGTCTTTGTTCTTTGGTTGGTGGGCAGATAACAAAGAAAAAAGCGAAATAAAGTCATTGTTAGACCTGCTGCATCGATGCATGACTACAGCAGCTACTTGCAACCCAACATTTCCCTTTCCTGAATCAGCCTAAGGTCAGCGTCACCAGCAGCCGGCATAATTCTGGCTTTGCTTCCATGGAGAGGGAGTTACACACAATGATCCACAGACCTTTCTTCTCCACACAGACTTGTTTCCATGGCCCTACGCCTCTTGAGCGCTACAAGATATACTCAGAGGGATTGGTCAAGGTTTTATTGCGTCCACTTCTGGTTTTCCCTCCTGGGTCTATTATACTTTTGAACCGGCCAGGCTGGCTGGTAGGAGCCAAGAAATGCCTGTTCCCTGAATGAGATGCACCAATGGGGACCAGCCTGGATATCTGAGATTCTTGTGGGCTTCTGCTCGCATCATGAACTATGGAATCAGACTGAGCTAGGTTTGAATCCAGCACCACCACTCAGTCTGATACACTTGGATTCTGTAGCCCCTGCCTGGTTTTTTTGATCTCTCTGTACCTCCATTTTCTTGTCCATAAAATTGTTGATAATTCCACCTATAATTGTCATCTAATCTCTGAAGAGTGAGTTCATCTATATACAGGGCTTAGCATAGGATAAGTTTTCCAGAACTGGTAGCTGTAATTGGAGAAGAATGGTGCAAAGAATGGCAGAAAAGCATTTATAAGGATAATTAGGCCAGCAAGATGGCTCCATGAGTAAAGGTCCTTACTTCTGGCTTCTGGCTACCTTGTTCAATCCTCAGAACCCATAGAAATGTGGAAGGAGAGAACTGATTTCACAAAGTTCTCCACTGATCTTCAGACACCAATTATAACAAGCATGTACACACGCACACACACACACACACACACACACATAAATAAACAACTCTTTAAAAGATAGAGAGTCAGAAGATTTATCTGGAAACTATCTCTGTGCCTTCTTTGCCGTTTACCTTGGGAAGCTAACTTCTCTAAGCCAAGTCTGTGCCCTAAAATTAAGTCTAAATTTTGTAGAACAGACAGTAAAGTCTGGGCACACACACTGCTGCAGATCTCAGGGCACTAACCGCCATTATGTAGGGAATACCACAGTTTCTTTGGAGCATCATGAGACTGAGACAAGAGGATTAATATCTTCCTGGTCATTTCATGTTCTTTCTGCTCAGGTTGTCAAGAAGGGCAGGAGAAACCTTACTGTAGTCATATTCCTGGATGGTCTGTACTCCAGAAGGAATCCTCTTTCTGCCTGGGAAATTCTCATCCATTTACCCCGTCCATCCAGCTCATAGAACTCAGAGGAGCAGCAAGAGCAAACAGTCCCCTAGGCTCACTGTGGCAACAGAGCTTACACAGTCACAGCGGCCATGGCTTATTACTAGCCAGAGTGAGGGCTGTCCCAGTCACGGCAGCCATGGCTTATTACTAGTCAGAGTGAGGGCTGTCTTAGTCTTGCTACAGACAATGTTTTACAGAGCAAAAGTAAAGTGCTTGGTTCTAATATAAGTTTTAACTATTAAGAAAAAAAAAAAGCCGATCAAAGTTATCCTTATTCCCCTATTTTGGACAGAATTGATACCTATGTTTGCATAACCTTCAGAGCTGGGAGATTCTGGATTACATTGTGCCTGGAGCTTTTGAAAGTGTTTCTTTCACTATGTGTGTGAAGGTACTTCAAGGATATATAATAGAGCTAGAAAGGAGGGAGAGACTGGGGGTCTTTATCAGCTTCAAGTTTTCTGTGCTCACTACATGCTTTCAGTACATTCAAGTTCATTGCTCAAGAGATCATTCCGAAGGTTTTCCTGACTCTAAAATACCCAAGTAGAATAAAGGCAACAGGAAACGAAAACTAATCCAGCCACTTGAGAAGGCATTTGCCATGCTCATTGCGTCTTTTTAATTGGGTGCCTATAGAATTTCAGGTTAGAGATTAGATTTCTTCTTTTGATATCAGCATGAGGTTTCCACGTTGCTGACTGTGGGGAAGGGTGGGTCCCAAGATTTGTTTGTGTTTTGTTTTGTTTTGTTTTGTAATTCATTGGGGGCAGTGGCTAGAAATTAAAGGGAAGACAGAAACCTCGAAGCTGTTGAGATTTAGTCACTGATATAGTTTTTGGAGTAAATTCCTATTTTGCTACCCATTGCCTCGCCAGGCAAGCACTCTATTTTGTTTGGATCTGAGCAGCAATTTTGGAGGAAAAAAAATTCTATTGACAGTAATAGCTTGAAACATGAAATTGTTTTTATTCCCAGCTTGGAGAAATTGCCGGGCACATTTTGTTTAAGCAATCCCTTTGACTCCAGGCTGAATACAAACGGAGTACCCTAACTGTTAGGCATGTCCTCGCTTATCTCCTACTCAGAGCCTGGGTTCATTACCATAATTGCCTGCCGCCTGGCTCCCCTGGCTTTGGCAGCCTCTCTCCTCCAAGACCCTAATATCCTTGCAGACAATTGTTGCAGCTCAGGAGTTCCATCTGCGGGAGGGGGCTGGGGCTTCAGAGCACAGAGACCATGTATTCAAAGACTCTGCCTTTCCATCCTTCCGTGGTAGCTCTGTGCATGCCCGAGTGCTGTGCTCTTTACTCACCTGCCCTTCCAAGGTTCTGGTGGGTCCTAGTGGCGATCATTCCCTAGCAACCACCCATTCTACCTAGCAACAACGATAGAACATCTGTGTTGTATTTCTTCTCCTAATTTAAAAATTGTTGCTGAACTACATAAAGCCTTCACAATTGTAAGGATACAGGGGATGCTCACAGATTAAGGCAATGATTGCAGCACAGGCTAAGGCTCGCGGTGCCCTTCTACGCCACCTACAACAGAAGAGATAGATGCGCCTGGCCTGGAACACTCTCAGTGTACTAGAAGACCAGGTCACCCTCTGGACCGTATCTAGATCCCAGGCACAGGGCCTCTTAGCTTGGCAGCTTCTTTGAGTGTCAGGCTTCGTGCAGTTCAAACAACCCCCAGGCTGTTTATCTAAAGGATGGGCACACCCCAGTGCCATTTGGCAGAGTATCTCAGCAGCTCCTCAGATGTCGGGTCAGGGCAAAAACTGGGATTGCTGGCCCAGTGCATCTTGCGCTGATTACTTGAGTGCGTGTTTCTGATTCATCCGCATGTAACTATTCCAGGAGGTGTTGCAAGAACTATGTGATGGCCAGAGGAACCCAATGAGTCTTTTATTATTTTTTTAAACAAATTTTCTTCTACACTGATTGTCTCTCAGAGCCAAGAAGCTATGTTCTTCCAGACCTGTAATGGATTTCAAAAGTAGGCTTCGTTAATTTGAAGAACAAGTTCCAACCCTTGCTCAGGGACGGTGTGCTCCCTGCTCTGGGGGTGAACAATGGGAGGAGTGAAATACCACACTAGAGCAGCCTTGTCCTGAGGGCCTTAAACTCACATCTGTGCAAGGACTACATCTAGCCTGGCCTCGCACCTGAGCCCTTCTGCTCCCTCAGTCCTGGGGTGGGGGAGCAGCAGACATCTGTCAGTTACCTTTGAAAGGCAGGGTGGCAGAGTGGTAAGAACAAGGCTTTGGCTCCATATTTTCCTTATCTGCTACTTCTTACCCCTGTAACTTCTGGACACCCCTTAGCATATGTGTGCCAGTTCCCCCAATCTATAAAAAGCTGCCTCACGTAGCAATCACAATACTCAATAGCTTGGCGCAATGACTACTGGATTGCCCATGGTCCTCTGTGGCAGAACTCAACCAAGAGAGCTTGTTCAGGTTGCATGTGGGTATCACACGGGGTGCCTGGCTGGAACTGAACTGTCCTGAATGGTTTCAGGCGTGAGTACCTGGCCTCAGTTCTCTTCTACTGCCTTTATGCAGTGGTCATGGCTTCTTTTCCTCTCTATCAGAACATCCCAAGAAAAGGAAAAGTGAGGGGGCTTCAGTACACTTTTTCCCCATGCATATACGATATGCTTGCCAATGTGTAAACACGTTCAAATATGTGTGGGTGCATTTATGTGTGCCAGTACACATATATGCAGAGGCCAGAGGTTAATGCTATGTTTTCCTCAGTCACTGCCTACCTTTCTACCTTTTGCTAACATTAGTGCAAATTAGTAACTACTATTACATTGAGGCAGACTCTCTCACTTGAACCAGAGTTCTCCAGTTTAACGAAACAAGCTAGCCACTTTGCATTGGGGGAATGCCCTTTCTCTGCCTCCCAAGAGCTGTGGCTGCGAACAGGCCACCATGGCCCCCTGGCATCTGTGTGGGTGCTCAGGATTTGAAGGCCAGTCCTCACACTCACTCACCAGGCAACCTTACCCTCTGAGCCATCTTTCCGGCCCTCCCTGAATCACCCCCCAGCCCAGTGAGTGACAGGGGTGAAAATGGGCTTCCCTGGCTGATGGGAAAGATGTGGAGAGGGAGGAGCAGTGCCTGGTGCACCTGCTCAGTGAGTTATGCTCTGTTGGAGCTGTTCTCTCAGTACCTCAGGAACACAGACAGTGTTCCTCCAGGGAAAGCTTCTCAACAATTTAGTCACCAGTAAGCCAAGAGTCTAGCCATGCCTACCTGAGGCCATACTTCTCGTAGCCATGGAGTTCATGTGGGCCACTCCTGGGTGTCATACACTCTCTGTCGCCCCATAATTGCAGCCTTCTTTCACAAGGGATGCAGCCATCCTTCCCTTCATCTCTCACAGACCTTCTTCCTAGCTTGTGGCCCCCAATTCCTCACTGATCTGGCCTGCTCTGAATTCCTCAGGTCACCATAGAGGTGGTCGATGGTCCCGACTCTGAAGCAGAAAAAGAGCAACATCCGGAGAATAAGCCCAGCTGGTCCCTCCCAGCTCCTGACTGGCGGGCCTGGTGGCAAAGGTCCTTGTCCTTGGCCAGGACTAACAGCGGGGACCAGGACTACAAGTATGACAGTACTTCAGATGACAGCAACTTTCTCAGTGTTCCTAGAGGATGGGACCGTCCAGCCCCAGGTCACCGGACTTTTGAAACCAAAGAGCAGCCAGACTATGGTGAGTTCACTGGCCAGCAATATGAAATTGGTGAGGAGAGTAAGTGGGAATGATAAGGCCTCCCAGAAGCGGGACCAAGCAAAACCCAGTTTACAGTATGTGGTTTTCAGTCCTCTGTGAGGCATACCTCATAAAGGCTGTGTTCACAGAAGCCCCCTGGAGCCACCCGCAGCCACATTTTTTTGGAAACAGTGTAATTTTGAAATTGTACTTAAGAGATATTTTTAGGGTCTTTGAGGCTCTTTCTTGTCTTGTCCTTTCCAAAATCTAATTTTATTTTAAAGATGAATAAATCATTAAATCATCTTCACTAGTTTTTTAGCTGTAAAAAAAAAAAATCTATGCTGACAACCAATTTAACAAAAGAGATGTGTGCAGTTGTGGGCTGGCAGCTGTGTCCAACATTGTCAGTGGAGTGGCCCCGGGGATCTGCACGAAGAACTGTGTCACACGTGGTCACAGCAAGCTTCCCCATCTACAGTGAAGTGTTACAAGGCTGGGTTGAGACTGCCAGGCTCCCACTCGGGGGACAAGAGAGTAGCAGGAAAGTTCCAGATTCAGGGAGTTAAGATAATAAAAGTCCTTGTCTTACTGCAGCGGAGATGAGACCAGGTGAAGGTGTTCTCCGATCATCCACCTGGTCCCTCTCCTTCCTTCAAATGAGTGTTTGATGAGTTCCCAATGCTCTGTTGTCGTGCTCCGATGGCTTCCCTATCAGCAGCTATGAATGAACTATGTATAATAAGGAGTGCCGTGTTTGGATGAGGAGACCCCTATAATCTCCGGGTCTGAAGGCTTGCTCCCTAATGGTAACTGGGTAGAATTAGGAGGTGTGGCCTGCTTGGAGGATGTCACTGGGGATCAGCTTGGGGTTACAAAAGCCACCCCCTCCAGTGTGTTCTTTCTGTCTCCTGTTGGTGAGCTCCCCTGCTGCTCTACCAGCCATCTGCTGCCTGCTACCTTTGCTGTGGACCCTAAGCTCCTCCATCATGGACTCTAACCTTCTAGAACTGTCAGCCCAGACTGAACTCTCTTCCTTAAGTTGCCTTGGTCATGGTGTCTCATTACAGCACTAGAAAAGTGCCAGATACAAGGATGACACCGAGCATTTCAAACAGAGGTCCAAGCCAGCACTTCCTGTCCACAGTAGTTTTCCATTCCCTAAACTGACCTCAGTGAGGGTGGGAGGGTAATGATTATTGGAACCTTCATCAGGATCCAATTCTTTGAAAAGGTTAACTTGTCATGGTCTAATTTTAGCAAAATATTTCTTAGTGCTTTTTTTTTTTCCTCTATAGAGTGTTCTTTGTAATGTTAGTATGGCTGTATCAATTAGTGCTTTTAAAAGGGGAGGCTAACTTGGGTCAGAAACAAGGTTGCTGAAATGACAGAATAGCTAACAGGATACAGGGGGGAATAGACAGATCTCAGATATAATTCCAGCTGTCTGAACTATGTGAACATCCATAAGTATCTTAAGTTTTATGATAATCTTCAGTTTCCTTACCCATAAAAGGAGTATAATTCCTCCTGCCATAGACTTATCCTGAAAATTAAATGACCATCCAGGACTAACAGTACTGGCTTCCTGGTGACCAGGTCCAGGCAATTTCCAGTCAGTTCAGTAGTCCCTACACTAGAACTGGTCCCCAAAGCTCTACTATCCTGACACTATAAAAGGAAGATTTTGCCAGCTCAAATAGCATCTTTGAACAGCAGCTCCCAGCTCACTGCAAGGCAGGGCCCTGTCTTCCTTTCTTGAGCTCTTTGATGTCCTTGGGGCTGTCAACATGCCACAGAAATAGTCTCAGGAACAGTTTGTTCTTGTTGTCATTGCAATTATTGCGGCTGAGGCTCGTTTTCTGCTCCAAGCCATACTCCCTCCCGGCCAAGCTGACTTACAGTGACCTCACTTGTGTTTCCAGCATCGTAAATTAGGTTTACCTTCTCCTATCTATGTTACAACTTCTTCCGTCTGACATTAAATCAGAAAGGATTTCTCCCCAGAAAGATGTGTTCCAGAAATTCTTATTCTGCCCTTTGACCTCATGAAACAGGAATCCCATGAATGATTTTGATAGATGCTGATCTGGACTAGTGTGTGGCAGAGGCTCAGGAGTGGAGATTTTCTTGGGAGATTGCTCCCCCATTGAAATGATTTATCACATGGCTAATTTGTGAGCAATTAAGGACATGAAGAAGGCCACCTACTGGTAAAATAAATTAAGTTTTTGATGGCTACTTGTAGATAATACATTTTAGGATAGATTTTGTGATGTATTTCTAACAGATTTTAGAGGAAACTACTTCATGTAATCCTAGCATTCTGGAGGCAGGAGGATAGTGAGTTTGAGGCCAGCCCAGGCTATATAATTAGCTAATATCCCAACAAACAAGAACAAAGAAACTACCATCACCCAATTTAGCAGCTTTAAACAACAGAAGAAGGGCTCTCCCCCAGGAGTGTGCAGGTAGTTGGAATGTTTATCTGGGATAGGATGGGCTGGCTTGGCTGGAACTGAAGTCTCCAGTGACCTCAGTAGCAATGATGAGGCTCAGCTAGACTACTGGGAGCTTGAGATGGTCAGAGCCTCTCTCCTGTGGTCCTTAGTGCCCTTGGGCTCTTTACATGGAAATGGAATAGTTCCCTCCAGCTTAAGAAGAAGAAGAAGAAGAAGAAGAAGAAGAAGAAGAAGAAGAAGAA